CACATTCCCCACTTGTTTCATATGTTCTAAATACTTAGGAATAAGTAAATGATAATCAAAATTAGCCGAACCTTTTACCTAAAAATCCCCACATAAGCACCCAAACATATTAGCATCAAATTATTAAAATGACATACACAAGCACTCCTTCACTTAGTATATAGATATATATATATATTGGATATTTCAACCTATATGTATATTGATTCATAATTAAGGATTTTACGGGTATTACATTCCCCAACGGTTTTTTATTTACCGATAGAAACTATCCTTTGTAATTTATCGATGGATAGTGATGAAATTTCTTGTCGTCGTTAAATCAATAATGAAAATTTGTCGCTATTCCATCACTCGAATATGACATTTTTTTTACTGTATTATTTACCAATGGTTTTAATTCCATCGCTGAATTTTTCTCGCTATTCCGTTTCTATTTACTTGTAAAAATCTCTTTTTTCTATTTTATCACTAATTCATCGTTAATTTATCTCCAATTATAGATGGATTAGTATCCATCGCTAATATCCATCGTTAATTGCCCATTCTCTTATAGTGAAAGCACCATCAAGACTAAACACTCTCTTACAATTATCTAAAAACTCTTTTATTGTAATGCTGAAAATCCAACATAAAATCTTCTAAACTTAAAATTTCCATCCTCCATAATTTCAAAACGAACATTTCTTGCCTATATACCCTCTTTAACTCGAGCATATAAGATCTTAATTCTACATAATTCTTGATCAAGGAATCTCTCAAGCATGTCTAGAACCACACTTCTAGCCCTATAACACATCTAAATATTTATTAGCAATGAATACCTCTCATTGATAGAATCATGTATTTCCTTTACGGACTAGTTAGGATTATTATAAAACTTGTGAAGATAGGTTTCAGCTTAGCCATTTTTGAGTAGCTTACCCATTTATCAATGATCTTCCACATTAATGGTCGGGATGCATAACTTTTCACTTAAAATTTATGCTCTAATTGCTTCTTACTTACATAAACTCTCTATACACAACCTTTAACACATCTAGCTTCCATAACATTTTTTGTACTCCTAACCCAATCGACATTTCTTCTATTTTCGGTACTATATAATTGCACAACCTTTTTAAATTCTTCATCATTTGTGAATTTTATTCTAGTATTGATAACAAGGTTCTTGTGGTTACATGTTAGATCATATATACTAACTCTTTCCTTATTTTTCTTTCTCTCATAGGCAAATATATCATCTTCATTGCTTTTAGGAGGGGTTATCTACTCATCCCCATTATCGTTATCATATGCACCGACATACCCTCCTTTATTAGGTTGAAGTATATTATGTTCAAATGGATCGAATTTCTCCTAACTCATTGGGTTAGTACTACTAAGTCTTCACCGAATTAAAGCCTAAAGCCACGCTTCCTCCTCATACTCCTCTTTTACTTTCTAGCCTCTATTAGTTTTTCATCAATGAAACTTTCAAAATTAGCATCACTTAAACTACTATCACTTTATGGTTTTTCAATTAGTATGTACTCTTTATCATGACTACTTGCATCACCACCTATATTATCACCAAAAGCTCCAACACCTAAACAATCCCCACCTATATTATCACCTAAAGCACTAATCCCAAAGCATCACTACCTATATTATTACTCAAAGCTCCAACACCTAAATCATCCCCACTCGTATTATCGGCCAAAGCACTACACCCAAAACATCACCATTTACATTATTATCTAAAACATCACCATCACTTTTTTCTTGAGTTAAGACTCCATTTCTTTTGACATCTTCATTCGCCTCCATAAAAACATCTATATACCCTTCTTCACAAGCAACACCTAACATCTTCATAACCATCACTCCATCATCTATAATTAAACCTCTCTCACTTAAATTTAAACTTGATTGTTTAAACACCATAAAACCTAGGTGTCTTATATCTAGATTCAACAACAACTTTATATAGATCTTTTAAATGTGTATAATTAGGGTCTTTTAACCACTCGATCGATACAACCTTTACCTCACCAACATAAGAAATGAGAATCATGTTATTAAAAAACCCACCAACATGAAAATTAATCTTAAAACGATTTATTGTCTTGTGGAAAGAAACACCAATTAAAAGATAAACATATTTGGGTTTGGATTATGTAATTTTAGGGATTGTGATTTAAAATTTTGTTAGAAAAATTAGAGTGGTCGAAGGTATGAGAGGAAGTGTTTTGACGGAAAGGGTTTTTAGGATATTTTCTTGAAGGTTCATCTTAAGGGTTTTGGGATTTTGAATTTGAGGGATTAAGGACAAATGGGGTTTGGGTTTTCAATTATAGAACTATAGCAATTGCTTCGTGAAAAAAAATGAGAGAATGGGGTTAGAGGGTCTCGTGGGTTTGAGGGATGAGAAGAAAGGAGAAGAAAGAGAAAGAAGAAGGAAAGATTTATGGATTTGATTCGAAAAGAGGGAAAGAGAAAAAAGAAGAAATAAGGAAGGATTTGTGGGTTCGATTCTAATAAGAAGAAAAGAGAAGACAAAGAAGGAAGAAGAGAGGATCTTTAGGTTCGATTTTACGGAAGATGAAGGTAGACGAATAAGAAGATTAAGGAAATTTGAAAGCACGAGGTACCGGGAAAATTAAAAGAAAGAGCTAATAGGCGTCTTGTGGAAAATTAAAATGAAAAACAAAAGGTTTGGGTTAGATTGGAGATTTTGTTGTAATTGAGGTATATCGGGGATGACATATCTTTCAAGCTTTGTAATTAATTTTTCACGTCACTACTTACGTGGAACTTATGTGTCATTTAAAGTCCAACTCGTAATACTTCGTCACCTATCATGTCGGCATTGCTCGGAATTTTGGTCGGAAAATCGGACTCGTGCTAATATTGTTATCGGAGGCTTAGTTGGTGACATGCCTATACAAAATTTAAAAAATGAGCTAAAATCATTAAAAAGTGTATAGTTTGTGATTTTCTAGAACATTAAGCCTTGATGAAATGTCATAGTACATATTTTTTTAGTTTGTTTCCTCTAAAGTATAACAATTCGTTGCTTGTTTAACGTTACTAAAATTTGGGGAAATTGAATTCACCCAAAGCTCCATTGTTAAAAATACAATTCATAGGCTAATAAATTTTTCAATTGTCAATGACTTTACTTTGATTAAATACTTAATTTGTTTTTTGAATTAAATATAACCTCATCCTTTTATCATTTGCTTATTTTGATGGAATTTAAACAACGTTTATATTGATGTAAGTAAATTACAATATTATCAAATTCACTCAACATCTAATTATAAAAGTAGTTAATAATATGAATTGAATCCTTTTTTTTTGGGGGGGACCAATGTGCCTTTTGGTTTATATTTGATTTGAAACGACCATATTAAAGGGAGATGTGGTAGATCATAAATGATGATGTTTTGATAATATAAATTTTTGGTAGTGACAAATTTTACATTATTTAAAAAGTAATTACTAATACTTATTCTATAAGAAAAAAAGAGATATAAAGATGAGAGTGAAAATTAAAAAAAGAAATTTGAGTTTAGATGGAATTTTTTTAAGATCTAAATATGATTCTCTCTTTCTTGTATGTATCTATTTCTCCATAAAAATAAATTTATAAAGTAATTATTACACACTTATCATAATTACTTTCAAAATATTTCGTGGCTAGAGGCTAAACTTGTCCCGGGGACTTCTTCCTACATGTTTGGTCCGCTGATCAAATCATAAAAACCTAATCTATGAAGCAAAGAACCAACGAATGGGTTAAATTAAGCTGCTGGGTTGCAGGTTGAGACTTCTGAAACAATTGGGCTTCTTGATTAAAGCTGGCCTGGTTCAGCAACTTGCGAACTTTGCTTTTTGTTTTTTGTTTTTTGTTTTTTTTTCAAAGATTAAACTTGATTTCTATAAATAAGTGACCAAGGCCAAGCATTACGGCCTAAGTCTGGTGAGTCATACATAATACTATCTATCATTTTTTGCCGCATCATTTCAACCCATAATTTGTCCGAAATTTTTAAAGAAATTTCACCCAAGTTTTCTCAACATAACAATGTTGTTATCGCCATCCATAGGCAGACCCAAACTACGTCGACATTTTGGAGAGCAAACTGCCTAATTCCAACCTTGGGGCATGCCTTTTGAGCGAGATGAATATAAATGAAGGGTAGGAGATGATTGGGTTGGAGACTTTCCACTTAGCACTTGTATTCCTTATATAAGGAGAAGACAAACATTCGAGGGTTGTTGATTTGATTTATGATACTGACTTTTGGGACCTGTTTATTATGACTAGTCCTCTTCCTAATGAAATTTCTAATCTGATTACTGTTATTCCGCTTTCCTAGATAGATTGAAAAGGAAGATTTACTTGCTTGAGGTGAGAACAGTACTTCTAGAGTTTACTCTTTTCAATTTGGATATGATTTTATATATCACTAAATAACTATTTCTTATTGATTCTACTAAGAACTGCCAATTTTTATGGACATTGAAAATCTCGCAAAAGTTGCGCAACTTGAGTGGGATCGGCTTTCAACTAATTTGTTGCGATACAAATGGGATTTTGCCCATAATTCCAGGTGTGGTCAGAATCAGAAGAGACTTGCTCATGCATTACGGGACTGCTTATGGGTTAGAGACATGTATCCTAGTATTACTAACTAGTGGTTTTTTTTTTTTTTTTTTAAATTATTATATGGACTTTCATTACTAACTGGTTGGACATCATTTGTAGCTATCAATTTATGCGTTCAAGAAAGGCGGACAAGAATGTAGCTATCAGTTTGTCATCATTTGTTGGGTCGTTTGGTTGGCTCGCAATAAAGGTACTGTTAATTAGGGGAAAGCCTTTCAGCAAGCAACAACAACTATTTCAGATCAATCATCTATTAAATAATATGTAGACTTTTGGCTTTTGGTGATTGTTCCGATGATCACCGTGTTTCTATTCCTAAAATAGCTTTATTAGGATTAATACCATGGAAGCTCCTATGGCAACCCGGCCGGGAAGAGCAGGTTCGGGTGCCTTCTTCGTGATCGTATTAATGGATTATCGATTGCAGGTTTCTTTGACTTCATTAGGTACTGTACAAGTTATGCGATTTTTCAGGTTTGTTTTGGTAGAATCGGATTCGCAAGAAGATGTTCGTGCAGCCATGATAGCTTTTACAGATTTTCATCATTATTCTGTTTTGACAGTGCTCGATTAGGCATATCATCTTGCATGAAACTAATAACGATGCTGATTTGCCTGCCAAGCGTGTTTCGTTGAGTGTTCGTTTACGATCCTCCTAAAATATGTCCAGCATGTCGTTGTGAGGGATATGGCTGCTGGTGTAAGAGCTAAATTACGTGCTTCTTTTCTTTTTACACGAAAGAGAGGAAAGAAAAAAAAAAAAGGGTTTAATGCTCTCTTTAATTAATCATTCAGTCGAAACTTCAAACAGTGCCGTTGCCTACTTCATTCATTAAATAAGATTTAGGCCATTCGGACAAAGGTAAATAAAGAGTTCTGATCTACTTGTGTTTTTCCTTCGTGTCTCCTCACAGCTGACTTCTCCCTAATCATGAATTCTTCAAAGAAAATTATCTACTTGCTGGTAATTTATTTATTTATTTTGTAATGACTCCCATGGGAACATTAACAAAGACTACCAAATTAATTCCCTCTCTCAGTAGAAAATTAAATGAGAACTGGGACCCAGACAAGCCCAGATTTTAAGTCAAGACCAAGTTCTATAATCTATATTTACCCATACAAATCAAGAACATGTTCTATCTTTTTAACCATGTCTTTATCTATTACTCCTTTTTACCCCAACATTATAAATCATCATGATCATGATGAACGATGGTGATAACAAGAGTCTTGTTGAATAATGTGATCATCTCCAAATCCAAGACAAAAGGAGAAAAGAAGGAAATCCAAAAAAAAAAAAAAAAAAAAGCAAATTACATTTACAAATTTGAAGGAATGTTTCCTTCCCAGGAGGAGATGAGCCCCAATAAGAACTAAACTGAAAAGGACACATAAGCAAAAGCAACACTACATGCAAGAGGGAAAAAAAAAAAGAGAAAGAAAGAAAGTTGAGACATAAATTTTTAATGATTATTAATTAGTATTAGAGTAGTCCTAGCAGTAGTATTTATCTTTTAGAACACGTTAACATGTTATTGTTTGTTGGATCTTTTAATATCAGAGAATCTTGTGGCCAAAAAGGTTATATACACATTTGTTTTTTCTTTTTTGGAAATCCAATCAAATGTGGGAACAAAATAAAACACACCCCCATTTATTTATATCTTTTTAGACATTTTTTCCAAATGTTAGTTTTTGTTTTGACTTGATTTGGTTAAGGAAAACAGTAGTTTAAAAACTGACACTTCAGTTTTTGAAAAAAGAAAGAAAAAAGTGGTTTTGATTGAATCTTAATGAAAACATTGATTTAATGATTTCCTATTTCCTATTCTCATTTATTTATTGGGATTGATTTTTATTTATTTATTTTTTGTTGGTTCGGTGCGTGAGGCAGCCAAAGAGGAGATTTTTATTAGAGAAAGGAAAAAGATGTCCTTTCGTGGTTTCGTGAGATTACCCTTTAATATTAGTATTACAAGTCCTAACTAGGGTTCTTTAACTTTACTCTCTCTTTACTTTTTGTTGTTTTCGATTCTCTTCTACTCCTGGATTTTCTCCTTCTTCTAATTCCTCGATTTTGTTTATTTGGGTTGCTTGATTTCTTGTTTTTCTCATCTGGGTCGCTGAGTTTGCTTCAATTTGGAGTGTTTTGAGGTCTGGTTGTGAGCGTTTCACTCGAAAGTTTGGGTTTTTTTGGTGATTTGTTAAGGTGGGATCCATAGATTCGTAGAAAAGTTTAGGGTTTTGTTATGTGATTTGATTGTGTAGAAGGTTTTCTAGGTCAAGGGAAGCATTGGTACAATTGCTCCTGCTATTGGGAAAAGTGATTTAGCTGTCAATTTTTTCAAATAAATATTGAAGGGTCTTGGCATGTAGGCATGATGTTTCATGCTCAAGGTCCTTTAAGGAATCATTGTACTCTCCTTGCCGTTCTTTGTGGTAAAAGTGGTGATAATAAGCAGAAGCAGCCTCTCTCTGATGATAAACCTAGATTTCCTTTTCCGGAACTTGCTTCTACTGGGCGGCTAGAGGTGTCTTTTTGAATTTTTTGGCTATAAATTTGAATTTCTGGTAATGGGTTTTCTGAGTTTTAGCTAAATTTTATCTGTAAAGATATAATGTTTTGTTACTGTTTATGTTTGAATGCAGGTTCAGGTACTGACTAATCCGAGCACTGATGAATTCCGGAGAGTGCTTCAGTCATTGGAGCCCAGTATTGTGTATTTTCAAGGTGAGCAGATTGAAGGTAGTGAAGAAATTGGGCCTTTAAGATGGGGAGATATTGACTTGTCCACTTCAGAATCCCTATGTGGACTGTTTGGTTCGACATTGCCTCCCACGGTGAGTGATGGTCCTCAAGATGTAATAATACTCGTTTGGTCCTTGTTTATCATTTCAGTGACATGAACTCCATTGTTGGTCTTAAATCCTGTCAGATATACTTATGCAGTTTGCAACATTAATCGTAGCATTTCACTGAACCTACCTTCAAACGTTTGTACAGGTTTATTTAGAGATCCCCAATGGTGAAAAATTGGCAGAGGCGCTTCACTCCAAGGTTATATTAATCCAATATAGTTCTATAATTTCTTTCAAGTTATTGATATTTATTTTTACGTTGGGGAAAGAGTTACACTGATTATGATTATTTGATAGAGTTATTGGTTAAACTATTTATATATATTTAAAGAGATGGTGCATGGTAGTTGGAGACCTGTATAAATGTGTGTGTGTGTGTGTTGTTTATCTGATTTTTTCTCATGAATCATTGTTGAACCGGTGCTTTCACGTGGCAGGGAGTTTCATATGTTATATATTGGAAAAGCACATTTTCTTGTTATGCTGCTTCTCACTTTCGTCAAGCATTGTTGTCAGTGGTTCAAAGGTATGATTTTCTACTTTTACATCAAGAATAAAGTTGTGTAGTCACCTTTTCTATTATGTGTTGTTCTGTTAGTTCCACTTAGTCTCCTGTTTTGATGGCTCTATATAATATGCAGTCTAGTAGTTATTGTTCACGGATCCATGTTTTGAAGCAATGGCTAAATTTGTAACTGGAAGGATTTGTTTGGGTGCAAAATATTTTCCTGTGATGAGATTGTGGACCAGATGTTGAGCTTTAATTTAGATCATTTGTCAGGCTGGATCATTTTTCTTTGGCGGGGTAGTGCAACGTGCTCTTTTTTTTCAGTGAAAATAAGTAAATATATGAAATCTCATATCCTCTTTTGAGCTCTCTTGTGCATTGCAGTTCTTGCAGCCATACATGCGATGCTTTCCAACTTGCTCATGCATCTTTTAGGCTCTTCTGTGTACGAAACAACAGTACCCTAGCTTCCAATAGCCAGAAAGTTGGTGGTAAACCCGGACCATGTTTACTCGGGGATCCTCCAAAGTTTGATATTACTCTGGCCGAGGCAGATGATCAGGGTGAAGAAGGCTCTTCTGGGGCTCTTCCTGCTATAAAAATATATGACGATGATGTGACCATGAGGTTTCTGGTTTGTGGACTGTCATGCACATTGGTACGCTTGATGTAATTCTGAGCATATTTTTGATTGTTAGCATTCACTGGGGGTGGACTGATTACAATCTTTACTCTCTTCAGGATGCGTGCTTATTGGAATCTTTGGAAGATGGGCTCAATGCTCTCCTGAACATTGAAGTGAGTTCCCTGCCAGCCTTATTATTTATTTATCGAGTTCCTCAATTTCTAATCATCAAGCATCTCTTGGGTAAATATTAATAAACCAGAAAGATGGCTTGGAAATAATCTTTGATATCACTGCTCCCATTTTTATTTTGCTCAACATAAGCTCACCTTTTACTCAGCTGAACAATATTAAGCATTCATGAAATTTTCATATTTAAATTTATGAGGCACAGTAGATCCAATACTTTTTCATTACGTCCACATGGAATTGAAAACTTAACATCACTAAATTAGGAGTTTCAAATGTTTTAGGCTTTAGCTGCGATGTATGTGTCACCTGTACTAGTGATGAGATAAAAAAAAATCTTGACAGATGAGTGCAAGTACATTGGTTGGGTAATACTCTATCATTAAGTAAGCAAGTGTAACAAGGTTTGTTGTAGTTCCAGCAATTGTTACACTGGAAATATGCTTTTATACGTTCCAACTGTACTTAAGTGCTATCGCTACTTTATATTTCTTCATTTAATTCTATCTTCTTTTTTTTTATTTAGCAAATATTTATTTATTTATTATTTTGCACTGGTATGCATGCAGATTCGTGGGAGTAAACTTCATAATCGGACAAGGTACTGATTGAATTTGAGCCTGGTTTTTTGCTTCTCGCCCCTTTATTTTATAATGCTACAGACACCATGTTGTATATATGGATGTAGATATACATGCATAAATTTGTGGATGCACACACTCGCACAGTTTTAAATGTAGTGACACATTATTTGTGACTTCTTTCAGATCTTTGTTATGATCATAATCCCTCTCGAATGTTATTGAATGCCTGTCGGTCTCATTTCATTCTGTTTTTATTGTCTCACAACTCTCACTGTCATTTTCAGTGCTCCTCCGCCTCCTCTCCAGGCAGGGACATTTTCTCGTGGTGTAGTGACAATGCGATGTGATTTATCAACTTGTAGTTCTGCTCACATATCGCTTTTAGTGTCTGGCAGTGCACAAACTTGTTTTAATGATCAGGTAAGGATAAATCTGCAGGGGTTGATTATGTGCTTGCTTGCCTGGTCTCTTTTAAGCTCTTGCGTGCTTCTGACCATTTCTGGCCTTTGTTTTTGATGGGGGGCGTTGCCTCAGCTTTTGGAGAATCATATTAAAAATGAGCTTATCGAGAACAGTCAGCTAGTCCATGCATTGACGAACTCTGAGGAAAGCAAATCATCTTCAACTGAGCCACGAAAGTCTGCTTCCATAGCCTGTGGGGCAAGTGTATTTGAAGTTTCTATGAAGGTTCCTACATGGGCATCACAGGTAACATTGTCTCACACCCTTCCTTTTCATGCATATCCTTGAAAAGAAGGTGCTTTAATTCATTCCATGGATTAGTGCTTGTACTTGTAAGACAATTGACAATCTTATAATTTTAGTAGTTACACACACACACACACACACACACACACACACACACACACACACATGTATGTCTATGTAAATCCTTCTCTCTTTGAGTAAAGAATACCAATAAAGTCATCATATAATTTTGCAACAATAAGCTGTTGCATAGTCACTAATGGTTATACTCTGTTATACAAATTTTTGTAGAATTCTTTTGCTTAGATACACATATCAACCAATGTGAGTTCTGACAGCCTTGTTTTATGGAATGCCATCACAGGTTTTGCGGCAGCTCGCCCCAGATGTATTCTACCGCAGCTTAGTCATGCTAGGAATTGCTAGCATTCAAGGACTGTCAGTTGCTTCTTTTGAAAAAGATGATGCTGATCGCCTCCTTTTCTTCTGTGCAAGGCAGCGCAAAGAGCCCCATCCACACAACTCTGTTCTCACTAGGCTTCCTAGCTGGTTGATTCCTCCTGCACCTTGTCGAAAGAGATCTGAGCCATCCCGAGAAACTAAACCCTTTACTTCTGGTTGTGGAGGTGAAAATGGAGGAAATGTTAAACAGAAGTTGCATGTTGCTGCAATGAGGCCAATTCCTCACACTCGTCGTCATAAAATGCTACCATTTTCTGGATTTTTGGAGGCTGAAAGATTTGATGGAGAACAAGCAAAGCCTAGCTTGCCACCTCCTCCACCGAAGCATAGTGCTGTAGGGCCTGCTCCTGTCACTCATCGAAAATCATTGTCAAGCTCTTATCAGGCGCAACAGATTATTTCTCTAAATCCACTGCCTTTGAAGAAACATGGTTGTGGCAGATCTCCAATACAAGTTTGCTCTGAGGTATAAGTCATTTTTAAATTTGCGAATCGTGTTCATTCTTTTCACATACAATGCTTTTTTGAATTTTATATGCTTAGGAATGGTTTCATTTTTATTTACACTTTTGGGTTGAGGTTTGCTTGCCTAGTCATTTGTTTCTTGAGTTTTACAACTTAGATATCTATGAAGGTTTTGTTCTAATAAGTTCGACGTTATTTGTTTCCGACTTTTATACCTCAGACATGGATGGGTCTTGGGGATTTTGATGTGTGGCTAATCTAAGTATTGTCTTACTCTGGTTGTAAATTTTTTTTCTTAAAAAACATTTCTATGATGTTTGGTGACTTGAAATTTGAGGTCTTGTTTTAAGTATATGATTATTTTGCTGGATTTTTCAAATTCCACATTTGAGGATATGGAACTATATACAGTCACCTGATTATCATTCTGTGCTATTAAATGTACCACATAATATAAGTTCGTAACTGTACTTGAAAGCTTCTGCTTCCTACCTAAGAGCTATTTCAATAATCTCATGCAATTATGTAATACGACCAAAATTGATGCTAATTCATTTATCACCTTGGATCCAAGAGTTGGATTTCTTATAATCCTGTTATATTATATGGTTTATATGCAGATTTTTTTTTATATATTATCATCTGTTTTTTTTTTAAACATTTTTCTGCAATGTTTTATTTTCTGGCAGGAGGAATTCTTGAGGGATGTAATGCAGTTCTTGATTCTACGTGGTCATTCTCGTCTAGTTCCTCAAGGTGGACTGGCTGAGTTTCCTGATGCCATTCTCAATGCAAAACGCCTTGACCTTTTTAACTTGTATAGGGAGGTGAGTTTTTAAATATGCTAAATATGATTCAAATCTGCAAAGGTTTTATTGCTGAAAACCAAGAAATACTGTGTTCTCAGGTGGTTTCAAGAGGAGGTTTTCATGTTGGCAATGGCATCAACTGGAAAGGACAAGTTTTCTCAAAGATGCGCAATCATACATTGACTAACAGAATGACTGTAAGTTTACCATTTTCTAATCCTTTTTTTTTTAAATGTCCTATGTTGGTAGAGAGCCTTAAAGTTGGTCACAATATGGGTGAGCTGGACCTAAATTGCATATAACGTGGCTATGCTAAAGTTCTTACAGCTAAGCAGTGCAGAACCACGTTCTTTTCCTGTTGAAATTTGGAACCTTTGGGATGCATAAGTTATGATTCATCTCAATTATATGGTGCCTTTTACTGTTATTTGCAGTAGATTTTAAAATAATTTAATTTTTTGTTTTATGTTTCAATTTGTCGTCACATTTTCTTGTTCTTTCAGCTAAGCATATTGATTTTATCCTGGTAACATGCCCTGTTGCTTTGTCCCCAGCCTTTCTTACTGCTGTCTTATAATTTGTTTTCTTTAATAACTACAATAACTTGCAATAGTACTAAAAAATTTAGTAGCAGTGAGTCTGTCTGGCTTGATCCGTTTTTTTTGCCCCAAATAGAAGTATTTCATTCTCAATAAATAAATGAATGAATGAATAAAAGTTTTTCCTCTCTCTTCTATTGACCTGCGTTTTCTGCACTACAGGTTTTTATTCAGCATTGTTTTATATTTTGCTGGATATTCTTGTCTGATATGTTCTTATTGCTTCTCTTTTTCATTATGGTTTACTTTCTCCCTCAACTAGTTATGATTCCTCGTGTTGCTTCGGATCACTGAAATTTTATTTTTATTTTTTCATTCAGAGTTTCTTTTTTCATAGCATATATTTAACCTAATTTTTTTGTATAAATTATGCTTTTTTTTTTTATTAATGTAATTCAAAGGGAAAGGAGAAAAAGAGTGTCCCATTCATATATAAATTATGCAAAATATAATGACAATAATATTATTAGATAATTATAATGCATTTAACTAATATTGAATAATGGTATATCATTTTTTGGGGGGGGGGGGGGAGGGGAGCTAAGATCAACTGTACATATTCATGTTCTATCATTTTTATTGAATTTTGCCACACAAAACACATTCATGGACTTTACAAAACAAAAGATAAACTATAAAACTATCAACCATTGTCAGTTGCACGTACAAATTATTAATTATAGAAGATACTCATTGTCTAAATATAGTTATTGAACTCATTTTTTATCCTTCTATATAAAAATTCACTATAAAATATCATATTATAAGCTTGATTAAAAGAGCATATAGCAAAATTGTCCAAAAAGTTCAACAATTTACCAAATATGCTAAACCCATCCAACCACCAAGAAACTTTCCCTCACTAATCATGTGTCAAACAAAGAATGCTTTGCAAACCCATATTCTTTAACATCATGATGCCACATGTCAACCATATAGACACCTTAAACCATATTCAATATATGATATAGATTGTGAAAATTTGCCTTGCTTATCTATTTATTTTGGTCAAATAAATTGAAAACATCTTAATGAATGATATTAACTGGTATACTAATTAAAATATTATTCTGAGTTAGATGACAAGTGAGCGGTAAACAAGCTGAGTTTGTGAGACAGAGGTTCAACAATGCTGGGCCACATAGACTGCATTATTTTTGGGACCTGCTGGGTCAGCTTGTATTATAAAATATCTTTGTGTGTATAATCTTTAGGAGTGAAAGTAACATACACATACTGAACATCACATTGCCTTTTGTGGATGGCCAAATCAGAATGCCTGCAATACTGATGGGAGTGGGCTTCTGCCTCATAATTTCTAGCAAATAATAGACTTAAGCTGAAAGTTCCTCTGGTGGATCCATATATTTATTCTTTGCATGACGATTTCATATTGCTTTCTTGGATCATGGCCTCGGCTTGATACAATATCGAACTGCTTATTGTTTGTACAAGTTTGGAGTAACTTCCTGTTTCTGCTCCACGTTTATTAGGGTGTTGGCAATACACTTAAAAGGCACTATGAAACTTACCTTTTGGAATATGAATTGGCCCATGACGATGTAGACGGAGAATGCTGTCTGTTGTGTCACAGGTCTCTCTCTCTTTCCCTTTCCCTCTACGTCTCCCTCTGTGTGTGTGTATGTGCGTGCGTGTGTGTGTGTGTGCGTGCACTTGAAGATACACTGTACTGACAGAAGGGTTACCATATTCACAGTAGTGCAGCTGGTGATTGGGTTAACTGTGGAATATGTGGCGAGTGGGCTCACTTTGGCTGTGACAGGAGGCAGGGACTCGGTGCCTTTAAGGTATGCTTTTGGTCAAGCTTCTTTAATGATTTAGACATCTCTAAAAATAAACAGTTGTTTCAAATTTATTACTTAAAGCAGATATAAATGGTTGCTTGAAATAAGGACTATTATTAAACTTTTCTTTTAGTTACTAAAACAGTAGTTTCTAGTTGGTCCATTGTGACTTAGGTTGCACTGAACCTGGTCTTGTTGTAGAGAAAAAGGACTACTACTATATATATAGCTTTACCCATGAGCATAGGTGTCAAGAATCCATTGGCAGTTTTAAAAACAAAATTCAGTATTTGTCCTTTAGATTGACCGAATAGTTGTCAGGATTTGCTATTTTGACTTAAATCTATTGTTACTTTGCTACTGTTGGTTATTTTTATTTGTTTTTGTTGCATGAAGTGCTAGTTGTCAAGGCACTAGTGGATCTTATTCATTACGTAATGTTTTTGTGGTGAATGGCAGGACTATGCGAAGACAGATGGGCTGGAGTATATTTGTCCCCACTGCAGCATTGCAAATTTCAAGAAAAAATCCCAGAAAACTACAAATGGATATTAGCAAGCTGGGGGCCCTGGACCTAAAGTCTCTATATACTACTTTCTTGTGGTTTATTTCCTTTCTTCCCCAGCATAAATGCATAAGATAAAGGGTAGTAGGAATGTAATTATTGTATTTTATCTCGCCCATTGTTGTTTCCATATAGATTAAGCCACTAAGAAGCCACCCAATTTTCCCCCGCATTTGTCACGTGCGAAGAGTAATTGTAGAATATACTTTTTTCTTTTTTCCTGAAATTTAATTTAACCAGGTAGTTTTGTCAAATATTTAACAGAATATAGGTGAGATAGAAATCTTCACTTTGGAGCTGTTCTTTGAGTAATGGTTTATCATTTTATTTTTACTTTGCGCAATTCAGTTGTGATTATGATCCTCCAACTATCAACCTGCATGTTTTGAAATCTTGTTCAACGATTGACTTTAGTACGTTTAGGAATTAGTTCAGTGTTTGAATGATGGATGATCAGAGTGATACAATAGCTGTTTTGTTTTCAGGCCTTTTTTGGGCATGGGGTTTCCAAATGATGTTGGGTTGAATGCTCTTTCCTAGCTGCTTCTCAGTTTGTGACGAGCAGGATTAGATCTCAAATCACTTGAGTGATCCCCAAGTAATTATCCTGCTACGTTCCCCACTGATTCGGAATTTGTTAAAAAGCCTTTTCTTCCTGGCTAAGCCATGCAAATACAGGGACTGAAGAAACTCATGCTATGCTGATTCTCGCAGTTCGGATGGTGAACTATACTCGCAGTTCGGATGGTGAACCTGCTGGCCATGGTTCTTACGCTGAAGGTTTTTAAACAATTAGGAGGAGAAGGGTATTCTTGAAAATGTATTACATTACATTAATATGTAAAGGCTTCAACGATGGGGCCTCTGCAAATGGATTACAAACAAGTGCTGTGTCAACAATTCGAAAATATGGGTCACTGGCGACAAGCAATGACATGAAGTCTTGGGTTGCCTGCATGCCACCACATCATGAAATGGGCGGTTTCAGAAAAGCGGTTTATTTATTTTTAATCTCAACTGATTTTTGGAGCATCTGCCTTCTAAAAAAATTATCAGTCACATCTGTTTCCTAGACATGGTACTTGCTTGCACATAGGATGTTTATATTAGGCTTGAAATGATGACTCAGAATCACTCTTCAGACTAGGAATAAGTTCGATCTTAACCTGGTCTATATATAAGCGCAGCAAAGTGAAATAAATTATTCAAAGCAAATCTGCATGCTCTTTATATTCTTGACAGATAAGAATAATATTGGCCTTTTATGCATGCTTATATATGTACATTCTCAAAAACGAACAGTTGATCTTCAAACAAGAAAAAAACGATGAAAGAGGTAAAAGAAAAGATCCAAAAATTGTAAGTAGCTCTAGATTCCAAAATGATCTCCCTCAGCTTAATAAATGAAATCCAATCTAAAATAATGAAATTATGCCTTTGGTTTCCGTGCACCAGAAATGCATTAAGCATTCTTCAGCTCTTCTTGCTTCACAACCTCATTGCAACCATTGACAATGATGTCTTTACTGCTAAGAGTACCGGTTGGAATATTGTTATCATACAACATTAGATGGGTGTCAATGCCAGGTAAACTGCTGTTGCTGCTGCCACCGCTGTTAACAAGATCATTGGTGTGGCCAAATTTCTTACTCTCCTCAGAAGTAGTACCTGAAAACGATGCCTTTCCACTGGATATGGCAGCAGCAAGAGCAATGGGCATGAGGCAGAGACCTTTGCTTTGAAGATATTGCATGGCCATGGTCACATTGGATTCCATTAGCTTAAGCACTTCTTGCTCAAAGGCAATTTGATCAGGGGTTGGAGAAATATCAATTCCTAGAGCAGCTGCTGGTGAGAGCGACAAACTATTATGACCCTGAAGATGACAGACGATGACCTGTCAGAATCCTTTGTAAAACAAATCATTTCAAAATTGCCCCTTAAGAATGATCAAATTGATCCTCATTATAGAAGATGTTATAATTTATATATTGAGGTGTCAGCTATGCGTGGCTTTATGCTGAGTATATCCCTAGTTATGAACCGTCTTTTTTTTTTTTTTTTTTTCTGTGATGGTAAATGCAGATTACTAATGGACATTTCATGAACTGATACCTATTATAATTCCATGATTACACGACACAAAGCCAGAATATAGTCAATGATGTCATACATAACACCAGTACATTAAGCTCAATGCCCTCAAGTAGAAACCTACTGGAGTATAATTTAAAATAGATACTTTAAGGATCATAATCTTCGCTTTGTTCCCCACAATCTCTGTCTCCACCCAGTATAGTGACCTCCTACCTAGTCACAGTTAGGTGGTTCAATGATTTTTTCAGCTTGGTTGACATTCTATTTTCATGCTTATAATCAAGGACATGGAGACATTGATGAGCTTAGTTCAATCATATATAGAAGAGAACAGGAAAATTGCATGTTCATCATTAACGTGGAAGGGCATAGTACCTCAGGTTGACCATCTGTGAGGAGAGGAATGACTGCTCCGGCTGCCCCTAACCTGCTCATGCTGAGCACCTGGATATTCATGTAACAATGTGAGAAATAGCACTTGAATCAGTACTTGGAATAATAGCTTATCCAAAGTTTCTCACTTCTTCTAATTTTGTGACAACTGTTGACCAATACAAAGATAATGGAAATTACGGACCAATACAACCAAAAATGAAAGTAACTTTATATGCAATACAAGTAATATTTGAAAACTGAAAATCAAGTTCAAACAAGTCCTAGCAGAAGTGTTTCTACAGGATATTTGCAAAAACTAGATATTATCATACCTTGACTTGGAGCTGAAGAAATTTGACATACTCTATGATCTCATCAAGCATAGACGCCTTGTCAACCTACAAATCATGGACAAATTCAATCCATCGTTAGAGCTGGCCTGGAGTTCACTTACTGCACAATTAGCTGGTTCCAAAGTTGTGTGTTTGTGGGTGTGGGACTTGAAAGTAATGTAAAGGTGAAGTCCAGGTCAGATCCCATCTCCAATAATGACAGGCAGAACTACTAAAAACTAAAAATTTCTAGTGAAATAAGCCAATTTGATCAGTTCCTGAGAAAAGCATGTCATATTGCCACAACTAAGAAAAGGTTCCATACTCGGGAGGTTAAATCTGATGTTAAGTATTAATTACAAGTGCTTTTACAACTGAGATCCTAGGGGCACTTGTTGCAGGCATAATTGACTCTACATCGTTTTGAAAAGGCACGTTGTCCTTCCATTTCCTTCTTAGTCAGAAGTTCTTAGTAAACCATCAACTATAAATGTGCTAGCAGAGGCATTTCATTTCTTAGTTCCAGACTGATTTGAAGCTGACTCATCAGCAAAGGTGATGATCTACAGTTTCAATTTGAGAACGTGATGATAATTGAGCTAGTTAGAGCTGCATTTACTCTGATTATATTGATCAAATTTTTTTTCCAACTTTATCTGTTTATGCTTACGAATATATGCTGGAATCATAAACATCTAGCCCTATAATTTGTAGTTAAAAGCATCTGGTTATGCAATAACTAAAAACTAACACAAGCCAGTCATCACAGTCTATTTAATGACAATAGCAGAACCAAAATAAGCTGACCTTATTGGAATTAGGTACAAGTTCTTGCAGATTCTTCATCCTTTCAGCAATTTTTTCTCTTCGGAGCTGCAATTAGACATTTTAGAAATATTAATAAATAGTTATGTCCAAAAAACTTCCTGCAAGCTCAAAATCTTTTAACACCATCAACTTGAAAGTCTAAACATGAAGAAATAGCTTCCAGTAGTTATATGATAATTATAACTAACCCTTTCAGCTATACTGTGTGGGTCAGTTGCCTGGCCACGCCGTGCTCTTACACGAGGCTTTCCAGTTCCATTGCAGCCTCCTGCTGAAGCAGCTGATGTAGTCTGCAATTCAAAATCCAAGCTTGGTTGGTACATATAACACTCAACAAGTCAACATGTTACTTCAGTCATTTATGGCAGTTGACAAGAGCTTTATAACCAATCATATGAATAAAAATGAAAGAAATCTGAAACTGTAACAAGCACCTGAGGCACAGATGATAATCCATTCATTGCCACTTTTACATTGGGCTCGGCTACGATAGATGAGAAAGGACAACTTTGCAAATCTTCTTTCCCCTACAATCATCAGTAAGAACAATCAATCAAAAGGAACCTTTTGACTTTACAGAACAATCAACTAGTAAATTCCCACTAAACTTGAGGAATCAATATAAATGAGGTTGCAACTAGACTAGGAGAGTCCATCATCATTTGTGCCCAATGTGTATAAATTCTATAAGTTGAAATGTAATCAGGAATGATCAAGATAGTTATAATTCTGTGGTGGGTGATGTAGATAACTTATCAAGTTGAATTGTAATCAGCAATCAGCAATTCTATAAGTTGAAATGTAATCAGCCATGATTAAAATAGTTATACCTCTTTGGTGGGTGATGCAGATAACTTATCAAGTCGTAGAATTTTATCCATGCCTACATATTTCTTCCCCATAATATCCATATCATCATCCAAGTTTCCTTCTTGAAGACCAAATCCTTCCATTCTGTCTTGTCCCATCAAAGGAGGCAGAGAAGAAATACCATCATAAGATTGTGAAGGCCACAATTGTGGAATGGATGACAAGTTTTGCAGATTTTTATAGGATCTCAGGTACTCAGATTGTTCTCTTCCATTGCATCCAGCATTGCTTGCCTCAGTAAAAGAGAGATATGATGTCAAATCACCAACTACTGGAAAGTGCTTTGGATAGTTCAGAGAATTAAGACTAGGGAGAATTGCGTCACATTGCAGGCCCATATTTCCAAACTTAAAGTTGCCACTCGCCATTCCATCTGGGGAGGGGTTGCCACTGCAATTTAAGCCATCATTTTGCAATGGAGCTTCTTCAGAAATTAAGCCCTTGTCAACAGCATAATCTGACTCACTGCCAAGAACTACAGATGAAGTGTCTTGAGTGACCAGGGACTCCACACTTTGATTTGAACTAATCATGCTTCCAGGTGAATTTTTTTTGTCATCTTGATATAATTCAAGAGAACTAGGGAGGAAGACATTTGGTTGATTAGGTTCACTACAGACCCAAGATGATCTTTCCTTCATATCTCCATCCACCAATGATGAGGAAGAGATAAGATGATTGAGATACTCATCCATCATCAATCGCCACGCAGTGATTAGTATATTTTGACAGCACTCAAGCCCTCTATGGAAGCTACTATTCAGGTTTATGTATCAGTACTCAACAACTGTGAATATAAGCACTTTTGTTAGATTCATAGATACCACATGATGAGTGCGCACAAGTAATGATGATTGCATGGACAGAGAGGAAGACATATCATAGAGGCAGTTAAATTCAATGTGGCATACAAATACAATACTGAATAGGCAGTGTATATTTTGACTAGATTGAGCATCATTGATGCAAAAACTAAAAAGAAAAACCTCGGAATAATTGGTCGAGAACATACTAGAGCAAATAACAATCAATAGTGAACCACTAGTTTTACTGCAATCTCTAATTGTGCTTCTACAAATAGCACATTTCAAGATAATTAAGAAGGTAAAATTTCTAAAGAAACAACAAAAATTAACTCCAATTTGGCATGAAACTTGCATCACTTAAATTACATTGAAGTAAAAATTTATCATCTTATTTTGTTAAAAATATGATAAGATCAGCTACTTTATTTAACTATAGCATTTCACCATCAACAAAAATCTTCAAAAGTTTATCTTTATATCTCCCAAACTACAAGAAAAATTCAGATCAATCACTCCTCAAAAAGAATTTCAATAGAAAGCATCAGACCACCATAATCCATTCCGACCAAGCCATAATTACATCCTATATCATTTAAAATCACAACCAAAATTGACCCTTTATATAAAACATCACCAGAACTCCAAATCAGCTAGATTATTCTTCAATAGACCAAAAAATAACATTTTTATGGACCCACAGTTCATGCAAAAAAGGAACCCATGATTAATCAAACCTCAAAACGCAGTACTACTAGAAACACTGTATATATCACTAGTAAGTAACCATGATCAACATGCATGCACATAATCAACTGCCACACTGAAGCTAAAGCTAAAAAAATCAGAAAATGAGAACAACAAATTTAGAAGAGAGAGATTTTTACCAGTGTTTTAGTACTAAGTACAAGATTGTCTCTTGGTTGTCTTTCTCCCAGCATCAGCATCAGCATCAGCATCCACAGAGAGAGAAATTTGAGAGCTTAGAAACAACAAAAGTAGTTTAGCTTTTGACATAGAAACAGCTATTTTTTTTTTTAATGCCAAAGTCCATTTTAATCTCATTATTTTATTCTTTTCTTAGGTTGTTTGTCAACGTGTCTTTTTTCTAATGCGACACGTCATCCGATTCTGTTTCTTGTGGGACCTACCAGGACCCACGTCTGTTTTTGCTCCTCAATTTTTCCATTTTTGTTTGTTTCAGCTAAACTTTTCAAATGTCGTTTTTTCTTCTTCTTCTTCTTCTTTTTTTTTTTTTTTTTTTAATGCCGTCTCTGACCTTGACAGCGGTTGTGTTTTTTCGCTTATGACCTTGAAATTGGAAATTAATGGGGTCCATGCAATGCGGGTATTGTTGTCATTATATTTGAGAAGTTGTCACACCGGATAAAGCGGAGGCGTTCCGGTTCCTTTTAAATTAGTACTGTCGCTGCCTGATAATGACGAAAATACATTTTCCATATTGTTAGCATTGAATTTTTTGTTGTCTTTTTGTCTTTTATTACGAGTAAATTATAAACTAATCTTTTTATTTTTAGGAAATAAATGAATTATTTTTTCTAAAAATAATTATTTATTTTATATTTTTCAATCTATTTGTAATTTAATTCTTTTCATTCTTTTTTTTTTTAAATTTACTTGTAACTTAATTTTCAATTTTTGATTTATTTTATTTTTTAAGAAATAAAAAAAGAGAAAAAATACATAAAAAAATATAAAAAATTATGAAAAAAATATTTATAAAATAAAATAATATTAAATTAAACACGATCAATATTAATAAAAAATTAATTAGTTTGTAAAACAAAGAAGACTAATTAATTATTTTCTTGAAACTAGAAGGACTAATTTATAATTTACTCCTTTTATTTTATGTGTATTTTAGTGATGAAATAGTCGGCTTTTAGTTCTATTCAACGGACTGAGCTAAGCATGTATATTTCAGTTTGATAGCCCATACTATAATGTTGGTTAACTAAGATATATTAAATTAAAGATAAAAAATTTTTGATCTAATTTCCTAATATTTAATTAAAATTTTTTATTTCATTTATTCTTCTCTATGTTTTTTAATAAAATGTTGGTAAACGAATTTTTGTTAATTTTTTTTAAAATATGTACATTTGATTTATATATATTTATTTATAAAAAAATCATTAATATTAGTATAAAAGGATGCATTTGAATTATTAGGTGGTTCTTTTAAAATATTATTTCAATTATATTATTTGAAAAAAATTAATTGTATATATTAAGAAAATTAATAAAATGATTTGTGTTATCTATATAGATACATAGTTAATTTATAATAAAATCAATGATCTTAATAATTTTTTTTTATATACATCATAACCATACTTATTAGATTAGAGCGTATATAAATAAAAAAATATTTTTTAAAAATTAAAATTATAAGGAATATATTAAAGTTAATAGAGTGCAATAAAAATAACTAAAAAAATTACTTCAATAAAATTTGATTATGTTAAGAATAAGTAAATAAAATAGGTGAATATTATTATTTAATTAATAATTTATTTTTTTAAAAAACTTATTCTAAAATTCATATACGGAGAAACATAAATCATATTTATTGTTAACACCTAATGTTTACCTCTTTCTAATTTTTTAATTTATGAGCTAAAAGAAAAGAAAAAAAGAAAAGAAGAAAAAGAAAGAAGAAAATGGAGAGAATTATTAAAAAAAAATAATTTGGGGGTTCAATTAAAAAAAGATGAGGTTTATGGACTAAAGAAAACCCAATTGAGGGTGCAATTAAAAGGATTAAGACCAAGATTTTAATTGAAAGAAGAGAAGGGTACTATTAAGGAAAAATTCAAACAAATCAATACTAAAATTGTAAATTTGGAGAAACTAAAAACTAAAGTTTGGGTTTGTCTACAAGCTTAATTTTCCACTATAAATACCTAACCCCGTCGACCATTTAAGCTGGACATGGATCCTAAAAAAAAAAAGAAACCTAAAAAACCAAAAACTAAGCCAAATAGCCCATAAGGAGAAACCATAAGACCCCGAATAGCTAACTCGTTACCTATCAAACCCATCAACACTTCTCTTCTCAAATCGACCATTTTTCACATGATATCTCCTCTAGTCACTACCACCAATCGATAGTCCACACTCGGATCCATCATTCCCGATAGATTGGAGAAGGAGGAGACGTCAAAGGAGGGAGAAATCGAGGATAGAGCCACGATGACTCGACTCATTTAGCAACCCAATCGAATCTCCTATTTCGGCCAAGTCACTACCTACCACCACCATAGAAGTGGTAGTCCGCCTTTAGAAGTGGTTCGCCCTTGAAGTCATGGCTTAACACCACCGTAAAAGGGCGAATCGACACCTAACTCTGTTTCCCAACCTGTTTGTGAAAACCCGATTAAATTAACCAATCAAGGCTAAATTGAATCTCTTCACCACCATATAAACGAGTCCTTATAGCCTCCCGAGTTTATTGCTATCTTCAAACTCGTAATCTCACTAGAAGCATCATCAAGAAAAGAGAGAAAACAATCAAAACTTTAAGTTCGTCAATCTCCTTCCTCAATCAACTACCACCACCATAGACGAGTCGTCGACAACCTCCTCCACCACGTGAGCTAGTCTATATGTTTGAAAGGCAATTGTATGATGATCAATCAATCGACAATGACCATTGATCTTGTGGGGGTAGTTTGGTAATTTTATGATATTATGGTATTTTAGTAATTTTTGTATGTCGAGGCATTTTGGTCATTTCATAACCGACTAGGGGTATTTTAGTTATCATACAACAATCTTTTTGACAACTATAAATAGTTGCTTCCTCCTTCTCGACAAACTAAAATAATTAGTCTTCATTGAGATTGAAAGAAGTAAAGCCGATCGAAGGAAGAGACTTGTAACATTCCTATGATATTTAGGTAACTTTCAAACCTATTTAGATTGTTTAAAATGATATATGAGAATGATGAAAATGTTATGTTGTAAATGATTGAATTGTCAAATGCTTTGTTCGATTGTGTTTGAGATTTTCACTCGTTTTATGATTGTTTGAATTGAAACCGTCGGTGGCTTTCCACTTATGTATTTGAGGCGACATGTGTCTTCCAAATCAATTTATATGCTTTTCTCGTTTGTATGAAATATAGTTGTTGGTGGCTTCCTACACACTCTCTTCCCTCTCTCTCTCCCTCCCTATCTCTCTCTCCCTCTCTTCTCTCTCTCTTTCTTATCTCTCCTCTATCTTCCTCTCTCACTCGTATCTCTTTCTCTTTCTTCCTCTTTCTTTCTCTCTCTTCCCCATTATCTCACTCTCTCTCTATCTCTCTCTTTCCCTTTCTCCATCTCTCTTTCCCATTCCTCTCTCTCTCTCTCCTTACCTATCTCTCTATTTCTCCCTCTCCCTCCCACTCTTTCCCTCTCTCCTTCTCCCTTCCTCCCATCTCTCTCTCCCTATCTCTCTCTCCCAAACTTCCTCGGTCCTCTCTCTCTCTCAACCCCTCTCCCTCCCTCTCTCTCTTTCTTTCCCTATCTCCTCCATCTCTCTCCTTCTCTCCCTACCTCTCTTTCCCTATCCGCCTCTCCCTCTCTCTCTCTCCCTCTTGCTCTCTCCTTCTCTCTCGTCCCTTTCTCTCTCATTCTCTCCCTCTCTCCCTCTCTCACTTTTGAGATAAAGTTGTTTGTGACTTCTAATCAGTTATTTGCTCCATGTTTAAGCGAAATGAAGTTATTGATGGTTTCGTGAAATTTTTTTTGATAGCTTCCTAAATTCATAACTTGAAGTTATCAATGACTTTCCACTCGTGTGAGCGAAGTTGCTTGGTGACTTTTTATTCATGTTAATAAAGACTCTCAATCCTTAGAAACTCACCTACTTATCGGTATAGGTT